GAAGCCTCAGGGGGACCCCAAAGTACAGGAGGGGCCACCTCTGACAGTCCTGGAGCGCCCTCCCAGATGCACAGACGCATACCAAAGCATGACTGGCAGGCTCAGCCAAGGCTTCAGGGCCCTGACAGTACTGATTCAGCTCTGAGTTGGTCTTTAAAACTGAAATGGGGGGCTGGCAAGATAGCTCAACAGTCTAAAGTGCCTGCTTAGGCAAGCTTAGACAAGTGCAGGGACCATCGTTTGACCCCCTGCTGGTGCACCCTGGAGCCTAGCATGCTGCCCTCAGCCCCTTATCCTTTCTGGCATGTGTAACACCTGCACTGCGTGAGGCACAAGCAAGAGGGCCACAAGGTCACGTCCAGCTTGGACAACTTGGCAAGTCCCTGTCTTAACATAAAAATAAAGCATTATTGGGCTGGTGAGATGGCTCAGTGGTCTAAAGCACCTACTTAGAACAAGCTAAGCTAAGCAAAGCACAGGGACAGCAGTTCAATCCCCCAGCACCACATGCCAGCCAGCCCCGCCCCCTGGTGGGCTGAGCAGGCCACACACACACAAAACAAAAAAAAAGAAAAAAAAAAGTTAAAAAAAAAAAATAAAGCATTGCAACACAACTCAAAACAAAAGCCCTGCACACAGCCCCAGGACCAGGACTGTGTTGGGGTCTGGAGGTACTGGGGCTGATCACACAAGGACAAAGTGTGCTCTGAGTAACTGATCCCAGCTCTACCACTCACTGCACGGCCTCAATCACGGAGCCTCAGTCTGCTCTCCCGCGAGACAGTGCCCACGAGCATCTGAGGCCTTGCGCCAGTGTGTGAGCCACCCACCTGCTCAGCCTCGAGTACAGCCCACACCCCACCCAGACGGGGAACCCGCTGGACTCAAGACTGTTCGCTCACCTCTCCAACTAGAGGTAAAACGAGCACTCCAAGGACCCTCGAAAAGATCACACAGCTGACGTGAGTGTAAAATAAGGTAGCGCTAGAAACAGACAGCGCGGCCCCAGCAGGGCTCGCAGCAGAAGGCATTTTCCCCAGATGTGATTGCTTTTACTTTGGGCACTGAGGACTGAACCCAGGGCCTGGCGTGTGGCAAGCATGCATTCTACCAGTGAGCTCCACCTTGAAGCCCTCGCTGTCTTTTTCTTTTTTTTTTTTTTAAGCTGGGGACTAAATCCAGGACCTTTAGGCTGAGCTGTATCCTCAGCCCTGTTTTATTTTGAGAAGTCTGCTCACCGGGCACACTCTAGGGTGATTGTCATCTCACTGCAGAGCTAATTTCTCCTGCACTTTTACTTTTTCAAGTAAACTTTGCTACCACTTTAAAAAGCCATTAAATTGCCAAGACTGAGCTCAAATTCGCAATCTTCCTGCTTCAGCTTCCCAGGGAACAGGGCTGATAGGAGTGTGCCATCACATACAGGTCAGTTAAGGTGCGGTAAATGCTACACAAGAGAGTAACATTCATGTTGCTAGACCCCAGCACCTCCAAGGACACTACTAACCCAGGGTAATGGTGTCCCAGGGAGTAAGACACTGTACTCGTCCAGAGGCACTGCTGAGAAACAGCCACTTCACCCCCTGGGAGGCCCAGGGCTCCCCGAGGAACAGCAGCTCACAAGGAGCCCCAGCAAGGCACAGGGACCTCACTGGGACTGGCACTTGCACTTCACAAACAAAGGTCAGGAAACGCTGAACACTGGGGCCAGGGAGGTGGCGCAGTGGAATAAACACTTCCCTGGCAAGCACAAGGGCCTGAGTTCAATCCCCGGTTCCACAAAAAAAAAAAAAGAAGAAGAAGAAGAAATGCTGAACACTCAGGGTGCCATGTTACTATGGAGAACTTACAATCATATTCAGGGGTGGAGCACAGCTCAGAGGTAGAGCACTTGCTTAGCACGTGCAAGACCCTGGCTTTCTTAGCACACACAAGATGGTGTCTAAGGCCTCACCCTCCTGCGACTCCAACGCCCTGTTCCAGCTTCCTCTTCCTGACCACCCAAAGCCAAACAGGTCACTCCCAAGAAGCTGCACGTTTACGTGTCCTCTAGTTGAGCTGTTCTTTCTTTCAGAAGTCCTCTTCCACTTCTGGCTGGGTTGAAGTAAACCCAGTTTATGTCCACAGGCAGCGCACTTCCCAGGTGAGCAGGCTGAGCCCACGGGCACTCTCGCGCGGAGCTCCAAGAATACTCAGCCCTCGTCCAGCTGCCAGCTCCCATGGCACCACATCTGGTGTTTCCTGTGCCTTGTCTGGGACACATTCAATCGCTCTACAGGCTTGGACCACCCTCCACCTAAGAAACCCAAGTTCACACTCTTGAAAACGGGACAAAATTAACACGTCACTCGAGCAACAGCATAGAGCCGGCAGACAAGCTGACCCAGGAGGAGCCGAGCAGGTGCTCCAATCCTAGATTCTGGAGGATTCTTGGGCAATGGTCAAGCGGGCACCTCAAAAGCGGGCTTCAAGGAGCCGAAGACAAAATAATTCATGAATGTCTCTGAGAAAGGAAAAACAAAGGCACACAATCCAAGGAAACTCTCCAACCTGAATCTTGGATTTTAGCTTCTGCCTCTTCTGCCCAGTGCACCCTTTTCAAGGCTTCTCAAGGGGTAAGAAAAGTAGACTTCTGGCACTCACACCTCAGGGTTATTACTTCTTGCTGCCTTCCCAAAACAGCAGATGAAACCCAGAATCCTAACACGGCTGGTAAATATAAAACTGGCCAGCGGAAAGCAAAGCACTAACAGCAAGATAATCTGCAAACCAACCAACACAGAGCCTCAGCTATCTGCGGTCGAGTGGAAGAAGACATGTCTCAACACTCCCTGAGCCAGCACCGCGCAGACTCAGCACAGGCCATGGGAGTAGAGGCCCAGGACCTTTTCAGCTCAAGAGAAGCATGTCTCTAAAATATCTGTCCGTGCACTCTTCACGAAAGGTCCAGCACAAGGGCCGGGGAGATGGCTCAGTAGAATAAGCGCTTCCCTGGCAAGCATAAGGGCCTGAGTTCAATCCCTGGTTCTGAAAAAAAAAAAAAAAAAAAAATGTCCAGCATAGACTTTTCATCCTCAATAAACACAAAAGGATGAGGGCCAACCAGATAGCTCAGTGGACTGAAGCACCTGCTTAGGCAGAGCACAGCAGCCAGGGTTTGATCCCCAACATGCTGTGCTGGCCCGATGCCCGGAGCGCACTGAGATGGCAATTGAGCCTTGGCATGGTGGCACGCACCCATAATCCCAGCACTTGGGAGGCTGAAAACAGGAGGATCACTACAAGTTCAATCTACCTAGTGAGACCCTGTAGACCCTTGTAGACCCTGTCCTAAATACATAAACAAGTAAATAAATAAACACACACCAAAGGACATCTTGGTGCCTACTGTTCTCCTGAATCACTCAGAATGAAAGGATATACGAAACTAAGCCACTGTTTTAAAATCTACAGACTTCAAAGAATGAGGCCTCCTGAATGCCACAGCAGCCTTCAGTATGGAACCTAAGACCCTTCCAAATCTATCCCCAGCCACCACTGAAAACCATGTGACATCTTACCATGAGACTCAGGTGCTCCCAGGCCCCAGCCACGTCCATTGCTCTGGCTGCCAAAGTGCCTCCTTGCTTTGCCTAGCTGCAGCAACCCCACTCCCAAAGAGGTGGAGACATGCGTTATCCCAGAGTTCCTGCAGAGTGAGACTTCCACCACAGACTCCAGGAGACTCCGGGAGAGGCAGCTGCCACTAAAATCCAATACACAGCTTACATATCCACCAAGTACCAAGTAAACAAGCTCTGCATACTCAAGAGTGAACAAAGTGGGCACAATTACCATCTACCCAGGAGAAAACATGGTGAGACGGAAGTCAGATAAGAAATACAGGGGCCGGGGTGATGGCTCGGTACAATAAGTGTTTGCCTGGCAAGCGCAAGGGCCTGAGTTCAACGCCCAGTTCCACCTCCCACAAAAAAAATAAATAAATAAATAAATAAAGAAGAAAAAGGGGGCCGGGGAGATGGCTCAGTAGAGTAAGCGCTTGCCTGGCAAGCGCAAGGGTCTGAGTTCAATCCCCGGTTCAGGAAAAAAAAAAAGAAGAAAAGGAACACAGCTACCTACAAAAAGCCTACACACAGGGTCATCTTGGGTTCCATCTGCTCAGGACACACCAATCTGCACCTCTTGTTCCTGTTTAAGTAAAAGTACCTCCTTTTCTCCCTCAAGGGCCCCAGGTCATGCCATGCACAGTACAGTCACCTCAGCTGTGGAGGACTAGCTAGTCTTCAAGTAACAGCAGCGAAGTCGCCCTAGCCTGGATGATGCAAGAAGACTTCTCGGAAGAGGTGAGTATACCTGTGTCCTGCTGGAGGGAAGAGTGCTTGGGAGGCAGACGCTACAAAGCAGCTTGGGGTGTCAAGACCGAGCAGGAGCAACCAGAGCCAATGCCGGAGGTAAAACAGGGACTCAGAATTCCCCGAGATTAATTTGGGACAAATATATCCCACACATTTTATGCACTAATAGGCCTCAAAATCCAAAGGTAGAACAAAAGTCAAAGTCTACAAAAGTGACTTTGAAACTTTTGAAGGTCACGAATGCTCTGGCATCTGAAAAACCCTGCAGAGCACAGCCCAAGACACTGAGACTGCACAAGCATGCAGGCCCTACCTGCCCCTCACTCAGCCTGCCGCACCACGCTGTGCCTGGGGGCCTCCCTCACAGGGATGACAGCCTGCTCCAGAGCTGCACTGAGAACCAAGGCCCAGGCCTCTCACATGCTTGGCAGGCACTCTTCCCCTGCCACACCTCAGCCCACGACACGTCTTAAATGCTACTGACGATACTCCAGAATAAAGAGAAAAACTCAATAAATACATTTTCTTTTAAAAGGTATCACAACAAGCAATTGCAAATCAGATAAACACAGCCATCATGCCCATGTCACCCAGTCAGCGGAACTCCTTGCCAGCGTCCTGGCACCAGCCTGCCCTGGTCCTTACCTTACTAACATTGAGTGAAGCTAGGGGAGGAGGAGTTTCTGTTCGGTCATTAATTATTTCCACTTCTGAAACGTACTGTAAGTTTATGAGCAGGATGTCTGCGTGGTTGGGCTTTCCACTGGATGAGGGACATTCTGGTGAGAAAATAAAGTTAAGGAACACAGGTCCTGAGAGATTCCCGCACGGCTGTGTGATATGAAAGGTCACACAAGGCCCCAACTCTCCCCATCACCTTCTTCCTGTCCAAACCTCAAACTATAAGCCCCAAAGTCAGTGGCAAATGCAGTTTGCTCTGTGTTGCTGTCTGCCTAAGGTCTGAAAACACATGCAGAGCCAGCTCTTACTGTTCTTGGTGTAACATCCCCTATCTGCATAGTATTGTTGTACTTTTTCAGATTTAAGATCTCTCAGGTTTGGGCTGGGGTGACAGCCCTGTGGTCTAAGCGCCTGCCTGCCATGCACAAAGTCCCAAGTTCTATCCCTGGTACTGCATGCCATGCCAGTCCTGGAACCCCAGCCTCACCATACCCACCCGAAATTGGGCGTGGTCATGCACGCCTGTGATCCCGGCATTGGGAAGGCTGACATAAGAGGATCACTAGGAATCTGAACTGAGCCACAAGACCCTGTATAAACAACAACAATAATAATAATAACAACAATAATAAAATTTTAAAAAGAAAGATGTCTCAGATTTGAGAAAACTGGGAAGGAAACCTCAGGTGCTCTGCCTAGTTTGGTCATCCACCCATCCATTCATTCTTCAACCATACACTAAGAACCTACTCCACGCCAACTCAAAGTAGTGAGCCCTCCTTTTTCCAGAAAGTCCACAAATAAACATCTATACAGGACCTCGTGTTAAAAAGGACGGAAAGAGTGACTAATCTTGTAAAGACCTCTCTGAAACTAGATATCTACAACTAGTGGCTAAGCAAAATATTTGACACTCAAAGGCATCCAACTCAATGTCCCTTTCAAAAATGCCATAAAGCTGGGCATGGTGGTACACACCTGTCATCACAGCACTAGCAGGCTGAGGCAGGAGGATGGCTACAGGCTGGAGACCAGTTTAGCCTACATTGAGTTCAAGGCCAGCACAAAGTGCATAATGCGACCCTATCTCAAAATTGATAATACATAGATAATAAAGATGCCAAGATGCCACGAAAGAATACACTTCGAAAAAGGAATTTTTTTTAAATTAAAAGTTTGGTTAAACCCACCTGTGGATCAAATAAAAGAAGCCACAACGGGCACACGTACTCCAACCAGGAAGCGTTTCTGAGACTAAGTTGGCTGCAGTAATTCACAAATCACTGCCATCTCAAAGGAGTTGGCCCCCTTTTCCATTCAAGTTTAATACTGCTACTCTCAAAACTAGGGCAAGCTATGGAAAGTCGGGGCTCCAGGCGTGGGGCCGGGAACTGTCACCTGTAACCCACACATCCTCAGAGGAGACCCTGGAAGAAGTGGCAAGCCCTCCCCCGAGCTCTCCCCGGCGCCTGGGAACCTAAGGACCAGCACGCACCCCACTCCAGCGCACCACGCACACACGGGCACCGGTGCAAAAGCCACCGGCCCAGACACAACTCTGTCCCGCAGCGGTACCCCTCGGCGTGGCAAGGCCTTTGGGTCACCGTGCCGCCGCCGCGTCTCCCAGGAACTGAGCCCCACGCACACCCCGCTCCTACACCCGCAACCCGTTCGCCCCCTCCCCAGGCCCCGCAGCCCCCATCCGGCCTCCCCCAGCTCGCCGGCCCGGCGCCGCCGCCGCCGCCGCCCGCTCCCGATCGCCGCGTCCCTGCGCGGAGCCACCGCGTGTCAAGGCTCCCGCCGAACCCAGGCAGCCGTGGGCGCTGCACTCCCGCCAGGCCCAGGCGACGGGGTCCCCTAAGCGGCCCGCGGCACCCGGGGGGAGGGGCGCTCCAGGCCGCGCGCATGCGCCCCGAACGCCACGGGCGCCGGTCGCCCCTAGGCCCGGAGAGGCCCAGCCACCGCCGTCCCCCGCCCCCCACGCCGCTCCTCCGCGCCGGCCACCGGCTCCGCGCGCCGAAGGATACTTAAAGCCAGCATCTTGGACTGGTAGTCGAAGGCTACCACCTCTCCCTGCAGCCGCTGCTCCTGGCACGTCCGGCACGACACCTGGCTCCCGACGCTGAAATACTCGCCCGGATGAGCCGCCATCTTGGGAGAGCAGCCGCGGCCGGCGGCGGCGGCGGCGGCAGCAGCGGGCGAAAGCCGGGCCCCCAGTCAGCGCCGCGCCGCGACGCAGGCGTGCTGACGTCAGACGCTTGGGCGTGGCTGCGTGGTGGGCGTGGCCTGCGGGGCGGTGGAGAAGAGAGCGAGCGGAGAGGTGGTCAGCCAAGCCGAGCTCTTAGCACCTGAACTGGCCAGCGTGGGCCCGGTCCTTGTAAGTCTGGCCTCAAGGACGTGACCTCCTTAAGGCCGGGCCTTACGAGACGGCAGATGGGAAAAAGGAGTTTGCTCCATTCCCACGTGTGCACACTTTCACACTGATGAATGAACTCCCAAAAATAACCTGTATTACCCCGCTTTAGCTCTAAAGAACCGCGAGTCCAGAGGACCTGAGGAGGCCCGCTCGCGCACGGTGACTCGTGGTGATCCTCCTGCTTCCAGTCTCCCCAGCATTGAGGTTACAGGCCTGCGCCACTAGCTGGGCCTCAGTGCCCGCTCAGCCTGCCCTGGGGGCGGGGCTGGCACGACGTGTGGTGCCAGGGATTGAACCGCGGTCCCTGCGCTTGCCTAAGCAGGTGCTTTACTCCGCTGAGCCATCTCGCGGGCCCAATTACAACCTATTACAAAGAGGTTCTTGGAGGGACACTGTCGAGTGGGATGAAGCGAAATCCGAGCCACAGGTTTGCCACTTAACAAGTTTGGAACCTTGAGCACATAACCTGATCCTATTTCTTCATCAGGATCTGCATACCACTTATAGAGCATCCAACAACCATTTCACATTGCAATCATTACCTTCATTTATGGATGAAGAAATCAAGTCTAGCAAGGCATGGTAGCCAGTGTCTATAATCCCAGTAGCCTGGGAGGCCAAGGCAGGAGGATCACAAATTGGAGCCCCAGTGCAAAGGCCCTGGGTTCAACCCATCGCTATTATTTATTTATTCATTTATTTATTTTGTATTTTGTGCAGTCTCATTACGTAGCTCAAACTCGTAGTGATCTATTTTCAGCTTCCCTAGGCGCATGCCACCACACCTGGACTAGCGCTCTGGCTCAGCACGCCCAGGGGCAGGGCCTGCGCAACATGTGGTCCCAGTAATCCCAAAAAGCAGCCTGAGACTAAACTTACCCAGGGTCATACAAATTCCAGGATTACAGTCTGCCTGTTTCCAAAGAAAGTACTGTTTAGTGCCATCCTATGCTGGACATGAGCACCTGCCTCAAGGTATCAGCGGTTTCAGTGAGCCGCTGTGTATGTGTATGGTGCCCAGGAGGACCAGCAAGTTCGTTTCCTGTGAGCCCTTCACCCGTGGGCCCCAGGACACTTCACTGCCCTTTCCCTGGAAAGCCAGACCCAAAGCAGGAACCACAGCAGTGACAGCACCACGGGTCCCTGGGGAAGGGTCTAGGCCCCCCAGTACAGCCCCAGTGCAGCAGTTCTGAGGCCTGATCTGCCCACCACTGACTCTGCCACGTTCCAACAGTGTCGACACACGGGAGCCTCCACCGTGTGGGAAAGGGTGACTGTTCTCTAGCCAGGAGGGAGGCAAGGGGCCACCTTCGGCACTACTGAATCTACACAAAGTTCAAGACTTTTCTGACTTTCAGAGGCAAACATTTCCTGGTGTTGGGGTTACAGGTCCAATCACTCTAATGGGAATAGGGTCTTTCTCCTTCATACTTTTAGACAGGGTCTTGCTGTGTAGTTCAGACTGGCTTTAAACTATGTAGCCCAGGCCAGCGTCAAAGTGAGGCTCCGGCTTCAGACTCCGGAGTGCTGGGACAATAGACCTGTGCCATCCACCTGGCTATACATGTGTTCTCGAAAAATTTTGTGTCTCTCATCCTTGCTGTGTCCCCATAACAATCCACATGTACTTGGAATTCCACTCCACTTTTTATATGGATGCCGAAACCCTGGATAGTACTGATCCTGATAAATACTGTTTTCCTGTACATACATACACCCTGATGACAAAGTTCAGTGTGTAAATTGGGCACAGTAAGAGATTAACAGCAATAGCTGCTACTAACAATATGCTGTGATAAAATGCACATGAACAGGATCAGTCTCCAAGGATCCTCTGGCACTGTCCCCTCCTTTGAACTAGAGGAAGTACACATGGCTTCTCTTTGGCATATCACTATTGCCAACATCACTACTATTTTTTTGTGTGTTTTGTTTTGTATTTTATGCAGGGGTCTCACTACGTGCAGCTCACACTCCTATGGATCCTCCTGCTTTCAGCCTTCCCAGCGCCGGAATGACAGGCGTGCACCACCATGCCTAGACTCGGTCACAGCACACCCGGGGGCAGGGCTGGCTCCCATGTGATGCCAGGGATTGAACCCTGGTCCCTGTGCTTGCCTAAGCAGGCGCTTAGTCTGCTGAGCTATCTCACCGGCCCTTATCACGACTTTTCTGCTGCATTAGGAAGTAAAATGAGGGTGACTTGAATACAGGCATAGAGCTATTACAACAATGGATCTGGGGTCAGTGATGAATGAGAACACAGCATACACACACAGCTTAGGTAACACGGGACAAGAGGATGCCGCCCAGGATGGTGGTAGCAGGACAGTGCAAGCCCCCAGGATGCCACTTCCGTAGGAACAGTGTGCAGTTTAAACTTCAGACCTAGCTGGCCGTGGTAGTACACAGCTGTAATCCTCAGCACTGTGGGAGGCTGAGACAGGAGAGTCACAAGTTACAGCCCTGACTGGACAGTTTAGTGGCACATGCCAGAATCTCTAGGAAGGGCCTAGGCATTTCAAGGAACAGAGGAAAGTAGGCCAGAAAAATTATACAAGCCAAGCCTGAGGCTACAGCTCTGGCACAGAGCGCCTGCCCAGTAAGTGGGAGGCCCTGGGTGCAGTTAGGCAGGGGTAAGGGTACAGTAAGAGCTAAAAGCAGAGGACAGAGCAGAGGCAGACTTTCAAAGACTCTAACGAATATGGACTTTCTCCTTGAGGCAACTGAAAAGCATTTAGCAGGAAAGCGCTGCACCTGATTTACCTGTCCCGTACTGCCTCTTCTTGCTTGATGAGACAAGGTCTGGCTATGTAGCCCAGGCCTTGAACTAGAAGAACTCCTCCTGCCTCAGCCTCCCCAAATTCAGGGATTATAGATGTGTCCCCCACACTCATGCCCCACACCTTGAACACACACTGATCTCTTTTGAACAACCCTGTTTACATTCTCATTTTCACCCATCCCCATCAGAACACAAGTGGCTAAAGCGGCTGGCCTACTGGTACTAGCCTGTAATCCCAGCAATTGGCCCGCCCAAGCTACACAGCAAGACCTTGTCTCAAAAATACAGTCTGTGGGCTGGCGAGATGGCTCAGTGGTCTAACGCACCTACTTGGAACAAGCTTGGTAAAGCACAGGGACTGCCCTTTGATCCCCCAGCACCACATGCCAGCCAGCCGCGCCCCCTGGTGGGCTGAGCTGGTCACACACACAATAAATAAATAAATAAATAAATAAATAAATAAATAAATGTTAAAAAATAAATAAAAATAAAGATTTATTTGTGTGTGTGTGTGTGTGTGTGTGTGTGTGTGTGTGTGGCCAGCTCAGCCCACCAGGGGGCGGGGCTGGCTGGCATGTGGTGCTAGGGGATCGAACCGCGGTCCCTGTGCTTTGCTAAGCTTGTTCTAAGTAGGTGCTTTAGACCACTGAGCCATCTCTCCAGCCCCCCAAAAAAATAAAGATTTAAAATTAAAAAAAAAAAAATACAGTCTAGGGAACTAGCTCGGTGGTCTAAGCACCTGCCTGGCAAACACAAGGACCCAGGTTCCATTCCTGGTGTGACATGCCACGCAGGCCCGTGCCAAGCCGGCCACTGAAGCCAGGTGTGGTGGCGCACGCCTGTAATCCCAGCACTGGGGAGGCTGAGGCAGGAAGATCACTGTGCATCTGTGCTGTGTAGTGAGACCCTGTACCAAATAAATACAAATAGAAAAGCGGCCAGAACCAGGTATGGTGGCTCATATCTGTAATCCCCACACTCAGGTGAGTCAGCCAGGAGAACTGCCTCAAGTTGGAAACCAGCCTGGGCTACACAGTGAGTTTAAGCATAGTTTGAACTACAAACTCAAATCTTGTCTCAAACCAAACCAAAAAAATAAACAAATTGACTTGAGGTAAAACTGAGGCGCCAAATCACTCTCCTTCCACCTGATCTCACCTAACAGAGTTTTCTATGTTTTTGCGTGACCTTCCAAATTTGTTGTGGTAGTGTGCCCCTCCTTTTATTCCCAAAGGGACACTATTATCTCTCTTGGCTTATCTGCCCAGCAGTTGTATATGGCAGAAGAATGGAAGGGGATGAAGCAAAGCTAGGGCCAGGGAGATGGCTCAGTAGAATAAGCGCAAGGGCCTGAGTTCAATCCTCGGGTCTGCAAAAAAAAAAAAAAAAAAAAAAAGCAAAGTTAGATCTGAGAGAAAGGTGAGACTATTCTGGTTGTGTGCGTGTGATATGTTTTTTGTTTTTTGTATTTTGTTGGTCTTCTGAGCAGGGTACTGCTATGTGGTTCAGGCTGGCTTTGAACTCACTATGCAGCCCAGTCTCAAAATTGTGGCCACCCTCCAGTCTCAGGATCCAGAGTGCTGGGATTACACCCTCCTGTCTCAGGATCCAGAGTGCTGGGATTACTGGCAGGCAGCATTCCCTTCCTTAGGGAAGCTCGCTCAAAATCCAGGGGTCTGGGTGTCTGTGGGCCTCCAAATCGCAGGCGTCAGAGCAGGGATCTCGAGCGGGGAAGGCGGTGCTGGGCGGTGGCGCCGTCTCGGGTGGCAGCCTTCTTCCCGGGGAGCCCAGAGACAGAGGGGCAATCGGCGGCACAGGAGATGGGACTGGACTCCGGCTCTAATGACACCGGCGACCTCTGCGCTGCAGCACCCGGGCGGGGCGCGGATCCATTCGTACCTTAACCCGGAACAGCAGCAGCGCGCTCCGCGCCGGCTGCCCACGTGCCAGCGATGGCCACGTGGGCCGCGAGGGAACGCCTCCGCACAGGTTTGTCCCTGCCGCTGCGCCGTAGCCGAGAAGACCCGGAAGAACGCCCGACGGAGGACGGCGCGCCGGCTCGGGGCGGGTGGGCCGGGCGCGCGGGC